TCGTATCTATCATCCCCTACGCCACCCCATCCCAAAGAATATATACATGAATTTAAAATAATAATTGAAAAAACTTCATTTTGTAAAAATTAATTAAATTTACTTCAAAATATTCCCATTTAATGGCATCAAAATGTCCATTAATTTAATTCCAATAAATGTATATGCCACCCCTTCTTTCACCCCTCCACTTCTTGTTCATTCAACATCATTAAAACATAAGTTTGCAAAGTATGCCGCGACCCCTTCACCTCGTCCACCTCCTCCTCCTCCACCTACTGAACACCATCCACCATGGAATATACATTACAATCAATCGGAATCTTGCAAACTAAACATCAATACCAGCACGAACACGAGAACAAAACTAAAAAAGTAACAGCAACAACAATATGCTAACAAAAGTAAAACAACAAAAAAGAAAAACTGAAAACAAAAGCAAAACAGAACAGCGAAACGAAACGAAAAACTTTCATTTGTTTAAAACAGCCAATTTTCACAAGTTCCGCAAAATGAGCATAGTTTGCTTACACTCCTTCCTAACCGGAAACAAATGTCGTCGCGTACTTAATATTATTCAAAAGTTTTCCAGTTTCATGTTTTGCTTTTTCCATTCCTTCAACGCTGACGAAGAATAAACAAAGAAACTATAAGAATGCTACAATGGTATGATCATCAATCGGCGACCAGTGGTATACAGTAAGGGATGTATTATGGAGCAGGGCAGGATGTTCAACATCCTTCACAGCCATGTTCTAAATATATATTTTTGAAGTAATTTTTAAAGATTTTTTTTTTTGAACGAAATTTTTTTTTTAAAATTTTCGAATAAAATAATATTTTTCAAGAGCCATAAGGCTGCATTTTTAAAAAATATTTTTTATAAATGGATTTTTTTTAATATTTTTCATGAACCATAAGTCTGGATTTAGAGAAAATATTTTTTTCAAAAACCATAAGAGTGGATTTAGAAAAATGTGTTTTTTAAAGGGCCATAACCATAGACAAATGGTGAACCATTTGTCTTAAATCGGACGAAAATATATATGGGAGCTATATCTAAGTCTGGACCGATTTTCACGAAACTTAGCACACATCATTCTAGGCTTAGTTCAGTACGCTGTGCAAAATTTCGAAGTATATTTAGGTACATTGGTGTGTCATTTACCTTAAATCGCACGAAAATGTATATGGGAGCTATATCTAAATCTGAACCGATTCTCACGAAACTTAGCACATATCATTTTAGGCTTAATTCAGTACGCTGGGCCAAATTTCGTGCAAATCGATGTATATTTGGGGACTTTGGTACACCATTTATCGTAAATCGGTCGAACATATATATGGGAGCTATATCTAAATCTGAACCGATTTTCACGAAACTTAACACATATTATTCTAGGCTTAATTCAGTACGCTGGGCCAAATTTCGTGCAAATTGAAGTATATTTAGGAACTTTGGTGCGCTATTCACCTTAAATCGGACGAAAATATATATGGGAGCTATATCTAAATCTGGACCGATTTTCATGAAACTTAGCACACATTATTCTAGGCTTAATTCAGTACTCTGGGCCAAATTTCGTGCAAATCGAAGTATATTTAAGAACTTTGGTGCGCTATTTACCTTAAATCGGACGAAAATATATATGGGAGCTATATCTAAATCTGGACCGGTTTTCACGAAACTTAGCACACATCATTCTAGGCTTAATTCAGTACGATGTGCCAAATTTCGTGCAAATCTAAGGATGTATAGGGACTTTGGTACACCATTTATCGTAAATCGGACAAAAATATATATGGGAGCTATATCTAAATCTGAACCAATTTTCACGAAACTTAGCACACATCGTTCTAGACTTTATTCAGTGCGCTGTGCCAAATTTCGTGCAAATCGTATGATATTTAGGTACTTTGGTGCGCCATTTACCTTAAATCGGACGAAAATATATATGGGAGCTATATCTAAATCTGGACCAATTTTCACGAAACTTTGCACACATAATTCTAGGCTTAGTTCAGTACGCTGTGCCAAATTTCGAAGCATATTTAAGGGCTTTGGTGCACCATTTACCTTAAATCGGACGTAAATATATATGGGAGCTATATCTAAATTTGAACCGATTTTCACGAAACTTAGCACACATCATTCTAGGCTTAATTCATTACGCTGGGCCAAATCTCGTCCAAATCGAATGATATTTAGGGACTTTGGTGCACCATTTACCTTAAATCGGACGTAAATATATATGGGAGCTATATCTAAATCTGAAGCGATTTTCACGAAACTTAGCACACATCACTCTAGGCTTAATTCAGTACGCTGGGCCAAATTTCGTGCAAATCGAAGGATGTATAGGGACTTTGGTACACCATTTATCGTAAATCGGACAAAAATATATATGGGAGCTATATATAAATATATATGGGAGCTATATCTAAATCTGGACCGATTTTTCCCAATTTTAATAGGGTGCCAAATTTCATCCAATTTGGATCATAAACATGACCTGTACTTTGTTTACTATTTAACATGGACCGACGGACGGACGGACGGACATGCATAGATCGAACCATGTGTCTATCTCCTGTTACAAACATATGCACAAAGACATAATACCCTGTACCACAGAGTGGTGAAGGATGTAAAAATCAAGGCAAATATTTTTTCCATACGTAGATTTTTTTAATTTTTTTCAATGAATATTTTTTTTAACTTTTATTTTTTAATCTTTAATGTCTAGAATATTTTTTTAGATGTGTATGTTAAAAAAAATTAATATTCTTTTCGAAAATTGAATTTTTATATTCGTATTGATCTGATATTAAAAAATATATATTCTGCTATTAGTCTTCGTAAGGTATTCAAGAGATCATGTGAATTCCATGCTATTTTATTGATCCATAATGCAATGCGGGTTATCAAATATGTTCCTTGCTTTTTTACATGAATCTGATGAAACTTCATTGACGTTTTTTTTTGCTGGTTTTGTGTTTCGTTTCTTATCATTTGCTTGCAATCACAAAGTTTTCTTGTGATTTTTTCCGCTGCATCGTGATTTTGCTTTTTTCGTCTGTCATTATTTTATTTGTTTAAACAAAGTTTGTCGTTTCGTCTTTCGATGCATATCTTTACATACTTACATGCAAGATGTAAAAAAAATACAAATGAAAAAAAATAGACCCACATATGCGCAATTATTAATGGAAATTATTTTTATTGATAGTTTTATTTAATTTAATTTAATTTGTTTAGGTAGATTATTAAAAGAAAAGTTAAAGATTTTTTTTCAATTTCAAAAAAAAAACAAAGACCAAAAAAATCTCCTATTGATAAAAAAATCGTATAATGTGCAATTAATATAGCGAGCAAATGCATTTAGAATTCCTAAATAAACCAGGAGTCACAAGGAATTAGATATTTTATTCTACCACCATTATTACCACCCAAATATTTGGTTTAATTCCTTCTAGAACTGCCGAAATCCGTTAAATTTATGTCTATTTATTTCATGTTAGAAATACAATTTAAATTCAGATTTATAATTTATAGTTTTTCAGATTTATAATTTTCGAAATACGTTGATCTAAATCTCATTAACTATTATATTTAGTATTTTTTCATATTCTTTATTATTTTTTAATATGTTAAAAGACAACTAATTTATTTCTTAACCATTTATAACCGATAGAAACAAAGTGCAGCCAAGTTTGAACCTCTGTGTCGTTTATGAACGAACTAAAGTAAACTATTCACAGCAGTGAACTATGAGAACAAGTTGCTTTGCCATTCTGAGCAGAGAACACATTAGATACAAAAGCAATGGGTTAATAAATAATATATTGGTAAATAAATATTTACGTGTAACTCCCACATCCGAGTACATACGACAATATAATGGGTATCAATTTAAAGGCCAACCAACCACTCCTCTTGGATATACTATGTCGGCTCTATGTCGTTCAGGAGTAAATATATACGCTATAGAATACATTATTTTTTCATTTTTCACACAAAAGTCAGGGTCCATTTGACCCTCTAAATATTAACCGATCTTTTTGAAAACAGGCAGGGTTTGGGCAATAATTGCGGGCTCTGGAGGTACCAGAAAAACCGACAAAAATTCAGTATTTGGTTCATCCTCTTAATATTAACCGATCTTTACGAAAAACAATAGGAGTCTTCATTGGGCCGAACCCATCCTACATGCAAAATTTCGTCAAAATTGGTCCATTACTGTGGCCTGTATCGTGTTTACAAATTATAATGGACAGACGGACGGACACACATGTCTAGATCGACTCAGCTAGTCGAGATATGACTATCGGTATACTTAAAGGTGGGTCTAGGACCAATATTTCGCGGCGTTACAAACTCTTGGGGCTGCACAAAGCTATAACACCCTGGCAACAAAGTTGTTTAGGATATAAATATAGGCTTTAAAAAAATATATCACTCTTGATATTTCGCTGCATTACAAACTCTTGATCCTTGGTATAGGCATTGCAGTTTGAACGTTGCTATATCCTACCTTTGAATATTCAAATGTTAAAGGATTCCCTATAACAAAATTATACTTTAAAAAATTAAAAAGAGTTTTAACGGTAATGTGTTTTTACAACAGGGTGGGTTCACAATTTTAATCGGGACGTGTACTGGACATAAACACTATTGATTACTATTTTTTAATATATAACATCACAATCTTGTATTATCCTGTATATAATTTAATAATAATAACAACAGACAATTTAGTGCCGTAATAATTACTATTTATTAAAATTCACTTGAGTGCATTTGGTATTGTTGTTGTTATGTTACTTTTAAACAACAAACCAATAAACAGCTGATGCTAAACAACTCAGGCATTCGCCGTTAAATCTTAACGGCGTTCTTCATTTTCACGTAACTCCGTTATTGTGAGTGTACTGCAACACGTGCGAGTTTCATAGATGCCCAAACGAGAATTTTAAAAAATATTTTTAAGTGAATTAAACAAACGAAAGAAAAAATGAAAGTATATCCTGAATTAACAAATTCAAGGCCAGAATTTCGTGTTATACCGGAGGAGCTAAATGAAGTAAGTACATAGTGAATAAAAACATGCACAATCACAACGATTTATTATTGTCTGTTTTCTGTTGTAGCATTTACACGCCTTGGGTGCTCCTCATTTGGATTCATTCAATGAATTACTAGAATATGGCCTGAAAAATATTACAAAACATCTACAACCATGTAGTTTTCTAACGCCAGCCGGTGAAAAGTTGGAAATGTATATACAAGATATACAAATATCAAAACCTCAAGTGCCTTTTTCCGTAGTTGATGTCAAGGAACGGAGTATATTTCCCACCGAAGCAAGACAACTGCACAAATCATATACGGGTATGTGTTCCATAAAGGTGGGCTGGCGTGTAGATGGCATCGAAAAGGCTCCCATTGATGTTGAATTGGGCGAAATACCAATTATGCTGAAATCCAATGCCTGTAACTTGGGTAAACTAAAACCGGAGGAAATGGTCAAACGTGGTGAACACGATTCGGAATGGGGTGGTATATTCATCATAAAGGGTAATGAGAAAATCATACGTATGCTGTTGATGAGTCGTCGTAATTATCCAATTGCCATTAAAAGAAGTACATGGAAAAATCGTGGTTCCAATTTCAGTGAATTGGGTATTATGATACGTTCGGTGCGGGAGGATGAGACATCGTACAATAATGTTTTACATTATCTGAATAATGGTACCTGTAAATTTATGTTCTCCAATATGAAATTTATGGCCTATGTACCGGTTTGTTTGATTATCAAATGTTTGGTTGATTATACCGATGAAGAAATTTATAGGCGTTTGGTTCGAGGCTATGAGGATGATCAATACTATTTGAGTTGTGTTCAACAAATGTTACGTGATGTACATGCCGAAGGTTTGCACACATCGGGTCAGTGTAAAGATTATGTGGGACAAATCTTTAGATCTCGTTTTCCCGAATTACCTAGTTGGAAAACCAATACAGAGGTTGCTGAATTCATTATGGATCAACGTGTTTTGGTACATCTGGAAACGAGTAAGGAGAAGTTTGATTTAGTCGTATTTATGATACAGAAATTGTATCAATGTGTCCAGGGTAATGCCAAAGTGGAAAATGTGGATTCTGTTATGATGCAGGAGGTATTGACATCGGGTGAGTTTAATACACATATTTGATTTGAATTCTGTAATTAATATATTTTGTATTTAATTTTCTAGGTAGTTTATATCAGAAATTCTTGGGCGATCGTGTCGATCTCTGGTTACAGTATGCCAAAAAGACTTTGCTTAAGAAACTCAACACCCCTGATGCCTTGATTAATGCCAGCATTATGTCAACCGCCTTACGTAGTTCGGGTGGCATTAGCCGTGCCATGGAATCATTTTTGGCCACGGGTAATGCGCCATCACGCAGCGGTCTGGGTCTTATGCAAAGTTCCGGTTTAGTTGTTATGGCTGAAAATATTAATCGTATGCGTTATATGTCACATTTCCGGGCGGTGCATAGAGGTTCATTCTTCACCACTATGCGTACAACCGAGGCACGTCAATTGTTACCCGATGCTTGGGGTTTTATTTGCCCTGTACACACACCTGATGGTACGCCATGTGGTTTGTTGAATCACTTGACTGTCACATGTAGAATATCCACAATGCCCGATAAGAAATTGGTCGATGTAAGTAGTCGATTGAATTAGGTTTGGAAATTTAAACTAATGTAATAATTTCTAATTTTTAGAATATACCAAAAACATTGGTAGAATTGGGTATGCTCCCGGTCGACTCAGATCTAAAAGATCCAGCTGGTAAATTGTTTGTTGTATTCCTTGAGGGAAAACTTTTGGGTTATATTCGACAAGCAGATGCTGGAAAAATTGTGGACAACTTACGATTGTTGAAAATCGAAGGCACTCTACCAGAAATGATGGAAATTGCCTATGTGCCATACAAGAAGAAGGGTCAGTTTCCTGGTCTATATTTATTTGTTGGTCCAGCACGTTTAATGCGTCCTGTTAGAAATCTGGCATTGAATAAAATCGAATTCATTGGTTCACTGGAACAAGTTTACATGGAAATTGCCATAGATGCTAAGGAAATTTATCCAGGATTTACCACACACATGGAACTCTCCAAAACTGATTTCTTAAGTAACTTGGCCAATTTGATTCCCATGCCCGATTATAATCAGTCACCGCGGTAAGTTAATTATAATTTTTATTTGAAACTAATTTTTAATTAAATTTTTATTTTTTTCAGTAACATGTACCAGTGTCAGATGGGTAAACAAACCATGGGTACACCATGTTTAAATTGGCCCAAACAGGCTGCCAACAAATTGTATCGTATACAAACACCCGGTGCTCCATTATTTAGACCCGTCCATCATGATAATATCCGTTTGGATGATTTTGCCATGGGCACCAATGCCATTGTGGCAGTAATTTCCTACACAGGCTATGACATGGAAGATGCCATGATTATAAATAAATCGGCACATGAACGAGGCTTTGCATATGGTTCCATATACAAATCTAAATTTCTGGAAATGCGTGGCAGCAATTATTTTGCACGCAACCCTAATATGCCGGAATTAAGTAAAACCTTGGACAATGATGGTTTACCACATCCAGGCTCGAAGTTATCATATGGCAATCCCTTTTATAGGTAAGTTTTTGTTATTCATTTTACAGTTTCTGATTCTATTGACGGTCTTCTTTTTGTTTTAGTTACTACGACACCGAAGAATCCACCTATAAACTAGTCAAATTAGATGAGAAAGAAGATTGTATTGTCGACAGTGTACGCTATTGTGGTAGCTTTAAGGCCAATGAACCACGTATGGTATGCGTCACGTTGCGTATACCACGTCCACCCACAATTGGTGATAAATTCGCTTCGCGTGCCGGTCAAAAGGGTATCTGTTCTCAAAAATATCCTGCCGAAGATTTACCTTTCTCCGAGACTGGTTTAATTCCCGATATTGTTTTCAATCCTCACGGTTTCCCCTCTCGTATGACAATTGCTATGATGATCGAAACAATGGCAGGGAAAAGTGCTGCGCTACATGGCCTAGTGCATGATGCTACACCTTTTCGGTTTTCCGAAAAACACACTGCCATCGACTATTTTGGAAAACTATTAGAGGCTGGTGGTTACAACTATTATGGTACCGAACGTTTATATTCCGGCGTGGATGGTCGTGAAATGACCGCCGACATATTCTTTGGCATTGTCCACTATCAACGTCTACGTCACATGGTATTCGACAAATGGCAAGTACGTTCGACGGGTCCTGTTGATGCCATTACACAACAACCCATTAAGGGTCGTAAACGTGGTGGTGGTGTACGTTTTGGTGAAATGGAACGTGATGCCTTGATATCACATGGTGCTGCATTCTTACTGCAAGATCGTCTCTTCCATAATTCGGATAAGACACATTCGTTGGTCTGTAATAAATGTGGTAGTATATTGGCGCCATTGAAGAAAATCGTTAAACGTTCACAAAATACTGGTAAATTGCACTCGGTACCCGATACATGTCGTTTGTGTGGAGATGGTTCGGGTGTTGGTTATATTGAAATTCCTTGTTCATTTAAATATTTGGTGACAGAACTGAGTTCGGTGAATATAAATGCAAGATTTAAACTGATGGAGATTTAATGAAACTAAGTAAATTTAGTTTGTAATTAGAGTAACGAAAAAACAAATAGCTTTAAATTTAATAAAGAAAAAAGTTGATTTTATTGAGAAAAATTGTGTTTTATTTTTAAGAATACAGAATTGTGGATTTATATAAACGCTTTACAAAGTGTAAATTTAAAAATTAAACGTAATTTCAAAAAATTTTGAATTTTTGTAACGTGGATTTAAAATGCATTTAAAAGACTAATTTGTTAAAGCGTGTTTATAAAATAAATATTTTACAAAACGTGAATTTAAAATATTAAAAAAATAAAGCGTGGATATAATGTGTTTTAAAAAAGGCTTAAATCCTAGTTTTGGGGAATATATTTAAATAAGAAATTGAAGTTAAATTCTTACATTTTTTCAAAAACATAATTCGAAGTGCGTATTAAAATGGAAATTTTTTAAAAAATATATTTCGTTGTTGATGAAGAAAAAAATTAATAAATAGCTTAATAGTAATTAATTTTCGGAAATTAAAATTTCCGAAAATTAAAGCTTGGATTTTTATAAAATTTTTTGTGAAATATATTTCAAAGTGCGTATAAAAAATAATAGATTTGTAAGAAAAATATTTCAAAATGCGAATTAAAGAGTTTTTTAATGTTGGAATATAAACAAAACTTTTAAAAGCTTGGATCTTTAAAAAAGTTTTGGAAAAAATATTAATTTTTTTTTAAATTCAAATTTCCAAAGTGAAGGTTTTTTAAAAAAAATCTATGAAATGTCTTAGATTTGTTTTAAATTTTCGATACTTGGATTTTTAGACTTACTTACTTAATTAGCTGGCTTGTGACAGAACTTTCGTTCCATAAGCCGAGCTTAAAAAAAGATTTCCAGGCACGTCGGTCTTTTGCGCAGTTTTTCCAGTTTGAAATCCAGTTTGATCTTATTCGTGGCATTTCCCTTCTGTGTGCACCATCAGCTGATTCGCTTTTATATGCCTTCTGGGCTGGGGCATCTTCATCCATTCTCACAACATGACCTAGCCAATGTAGTCGCTGCAGCTCAATACGTATTAAAATGTCGATGTCCGAGAATAGCTGGTACAACTCATGGTTCAGCGATATTCACGTCAATCCAGATCGGCCCATAGATCAAGAGCTGTCTCATCTACTTGCGTAAAAATCTGGTAAATGGTGGATTTGCCAGGTCTGAAGCCGCATTGGTATGGTCCAATAATGTCATTGACCATTGGCTTCAGTCGTTCACACAGCACGCTGGATAGCATTTATATGCGATAATGAGACTTATTCCTCTATAGTTTGCACATTTTTAAATCGAAATTTAATATTTTCTATTTATTTATTATTTTTTAATATTTTCTATTTAAAAAAATGTCCCATCATGTCTAACATCATTAAAACCAATATAGTTTTTGTTTTATAATATTTCTTTTATTTTTAATTATTTTTCTTCAGTAGTATATGACACTAAATAATGTGTTTATTTTGTATTTAATTTATATGTATGTTGTGTGGTGTATGTGTTTTTCTTTTTTGTTGTTGGATTTTTTTTTATTTTTGTATAATTATTCTTAGTTCTGTTTATTTTTTAATTTAGTTTTTATTTTTTTTATACGATAACAAATTTGTTTACGATAGGCTTAACGACGACGATGATGATCATCATTACATGAGGAAAAAAGCTGTGGGGGGAGGTGGTGGTGATGAAGTGAGGATTGTTTTTTTTTTAAGATTTTATTTATTTATAGTTTTATTAATATATATGAATACTATATTCTTTTTTTTTAAATAGATGAGCAAAATATTATAAACATTTGAATTTTTTGTAATTTGTTTTTTATTGTATACAAAAATTAATAATAACTGTATAAAAAGCAAAATATAATAAAAAAAATAATTAAAAATATATTGAGGAGATAATAATAAAAAAAAATAAAGGGAAAAGGAATAATTGGAATATAAACAAAAAAATATCTGTATAACATAAGTAATAGTGGGGGAGGATAACATAAGTAATAGTGGGGGAGGAATATAATTGTTTATATATAAATATTTTAAACATTTTTTTTACTTTTTCTTGTTAGCAGCATATGCTTTAATTTATTGTTTGTTTATGTCGTCTAATATAATATTACACTTGATGTTGTTGTATTATAATATAAATTAGTGTTTTTCGTTTTTTTTTTTTTTATTTTCCTTTATTGTGTCCTATATAACAAATAAATGTGGGAACATTTATAATATTATTAATTTTTTCATGTTCGATTTTTAATTGTTTTTTTTTTTTTTTTTGTTTAACAATTGTGAATTTATTATTTTTTTGTTATTTATATTATGTGTTATTTTTTTATATAGATTTCCCAACAAATATGTTGCAAAAATTATTTGTCTAATGAGATTTATAGTTGTTTTTTTGTTTTATATATTTTATGGAATTTTGTTTTATTTGTTTTTTCTTTTAAATAATAAAAATTATATTTTTATTTTACTTTTTTTGTAAATAACATTAATTTTTTAAACAATTTTTTTTAATTTATATATATTTGTATTATTTTATATAACTTTTTCTTCGATTTAAATAAGTTATTTTCATAATTATACACACACATGCCTGCTCAAAAAAGTAGATACACAAATTTTGATTTATTAATTATTTATTTTTTTTAATTTGGAATATTAACCATACAATTTTTTTAAAATACTGAATCCAGAATACTTTTTGAAAATAGTTGGAACCCTAAACAACTCTCATGTGTTTTTGTTTAAAATTATTTGTTTTAAGAAATTTTAGGTGGATCGGAATCAAATATACCGAAAAAGAAGCGGGAATTTTTTATGTTTGGCTACTTTAAAACTTGGACCTATAGATACACCGTACAAATTTGTCTAAAAGTCAGCCTTCCAGAACTCTTTATAGCAAATTAGAGGTCTATCGATTGGAAATGCGGCTAAACGTTCCGAAAACCCCGAATAATGGGTGTTACCATTATATGGGGGCAATCCGGAAACATGGGCCAGTGTTGATATTTTTTCATTGGGACATTTTCTACTCAATGATAAAATAAAAACTCGAAACATAAAATTTTTTCATAAATGACTGAAACACGAGCACAAGCTTCCCAAAATACCAACTTTTGAGGTGTAGCGTTGTATGAGGGATTCCAATGTTGATAATAGGATAACACACATAATTCGATAACACACTTTGACTAACAAATCGACTTTTCGATCTTTCGATTTTGTCAAAAACGTTCAAAATCGATTTACCGATAGATGTAAAATCGAATACAAATTTGATTTTTTATCTAAATTATTGTCAACAGATAAAATAAAGTTCTGGAATGTGTAATTTTTGGGCTTTGGGATAACAAAGCAAGTATTTCTGAAGAAAATCGAAAGTCGATCTTGAAAAGTAGACTTTGGGATATTCTTAAAGATCAGAAGTGACTTCGATTTTTTGACATTTCAATACAAAAATTCGATTAATCCATTAGTCAAAAGTCGATTTACGTACCACAAGTAACCTGCAGCTGGATCTAGATCTATTAATAAGGTCACCCAGCTAGCACCTTATTTATAGGCCTTAAGCTAGTTGATGGCAAGATCTATTAATAAGGTCACCCAGGTAGCAATCGAAATTGGAAAACAGCTGTTTTTTTCTCAAGTCTAATGTAAAAAATTTGGACTTTACGTTTTTATAATGGAAGTCAATTCACAATAATGAATTTTGACAGCAAACTTGAGTGACAGCTGATAATCAGCTGGTCTTCCTGGGTGACCTTATTTATAGGTCTTGGTTGATGAAAAAATTAGACTTTTTTTCCAAAGGCCTATAACCTCCCCCCTTCTAATTGTATTTAATTTAAAAATTTCCAAAAAAGTATAAGAAAAATAGGGAAAATTCTACAGCTCCTTTGAATTGAGGTCATTAGGAAAATAACATATAATCCAATGCAAACATGTACGATCTTGTAAACTAGCCTTCGGCTCAACTCTCACAGATTCTTACGTTCATTTGTTTAGTCGTTCTTGAGACTTCAACGATTCTGGAATGTAAATATTAAATCAATCACTTGATTAAAATATCGAAATTTTTCTATTGAATAGAATATAAAACGGACTTCGGAAGGCTCCATAAAGTTTTTCATTTAAGTATTAGATGATCCAAAGGCCAATATAAAGATAAAGTTGGATTGGTTTTTAATACCATATAATAATACCTCTAGAGGAACCAAAGGTATTTTTTAATTCCAATTTCGTTTGTATTGAGACTACTGGTTATTTAAAGTCCAATTGATTTATAAAGTGGTCACGGGTATTCATAAAGTCCAATTTGATCTGTATAGAAACCAAAGGTCTTTGTAAAGCAAAATTGGTCTGTATAGAGGCAGTGTGTCCTCATAAAGAGCTGGTTCTTTAGAACCAGCTTTCCTTTCTTGATTTTGGAATTAGAATTCGGTTTTAGTGTATGTCCACTAGGATTTTAAGCCCTTCTTTCTAACAAATCCATTGTCCAAATACCTTGTTCTTCTTGTTACGTTTTTTTTTAAGTTTTTTTCGGTTCCACTACAAAATCTAAATTTATTTTTACCAAAATTATGAACTTCCAATACTAACATAACTAACGTCGTATCTACTAGAATTCTTGAGCCAGAATGCATGTAAAATATTTTTTTCTGTTCCAAAACATTTAATTTTTTTCAATGTAACAACTTCTTTTTGTGTATAAATTAAACGAAACAAAAAAATATATTTTTTTCGAAACACACAAAAAAACGAATAAGAAAAGGCTTGATTATATTTTTTGAATTTTTGAGGGGAGAGATAGGGGATGTTTGGTTTTGTATTTATATCTTACTTTGGAAAGTCTTATTGCTAAACTGAATATTATGTTGTTGTAGTATTAACATTAATGTATATATGTCTCTGTGGTTGTTGTATTAATTATTTAATATATTTATAGTATGCAACATTTTCGGTTGAAAAAAGATTCTTTTTTTAAATATATCAAGTATTTCTTTTTTTTGTATTATTTTAAAAGGGATAGTCTTTATGTAAATTCTATGAATTATACATTAAAAAACTTTTGCACATAAATTACTACATCGGATTATCTACCAGCACTTTTAGCATTTTCGGATTACATGGCATATTTTCCAAAAGAAATTACATTTTTTAAAATTAAATAAAATCTTCTGTGTTTTTCTATGGAACAATTCGATTATTTGTTCACTTAATTTTGAAAATATTTCATTTAATATGAAAATGCTATATATTTATTTAATCTCTGGATTTTTAATGTTGACAGCATATTCATATAGCCTTTGAATTGATGTTAAACCTTAATTTGTTGTCAACCATTATCCAGATGAAATCTACACCCACTTTAAACGATACACTTCTGCCATAAGGGGATTTTTCTTCCGCTTAAAAATTGTTTGTTAGAAATCTGGAGTATTTTTTAGAAAAAAAAAATAACTGTTTTTTATGTATATTTGTTTATTTTTTTTTACAATATTTATATTTTATTTAGGTTAGGCGGTTTTGATTTGGACTAACCTATTTTTATATATTTGTTTCTTTCAGTTATGGGGGAATTTGTTTTGGTAAGTAGTTTTACATTTCGAGCAATTTTTGTTGTTGTATATACTTAATAATTAATAATAAGTTCTTTGAAATTATTTTATGGGTTATATATGCCAAAAATTAAAAATAAAAACAAAAGAAAATCGAAGGAATAATGGGAATAAAGACGTGGAAGGGCCACTAAATCTACATTACGTGATTTTTTTTCTTTCTTTTTGGTTGATAAAAAGTTCGAAAGCAATTTAAATATAACAAAAACAACATGACAAAATATTGTGCAGTTATAATTTTTAGGAATTTTTTTGCTTTTACCCAGAGTGGAAAAATGAAAAAAAAAACATATTTACGAAAATGAAAAACATAGCTAAATTATTATATTTTGTTGTAATTTTTATCTTATGTTTATATCTTCTGTTTTTATCTGAGAAAAAAATATGAACAAAATTATTTCAAGTTTTTTTTTTTTTTTGCTTAAAATGAATGCAAGCTTATTATTTTCATTTTTTGTTTTTATTTTATATAACATTAACATATAGTTGTATTACTTTTTTAAAGGGGGTATCTCTTTTTTTGTTAAATTTAACTATGCAGTTTTTTTAATTTATTTTTTTGTTCAACTTTCTTTTTTCTTCTTTTTTATAAGATAATAATTTTTAGTTTTGTAATGTATGTTCTTGTTGTTGTTGTTATTATTCTTTTATATATATAACCTTTTGGGAATAATCATGGTATATATTTTCAATATATATATGTATTTATAAAACGAAAATCGTCGTTGCATTTTTTTCTCTGTTCCTCTTTATGCTGTTAAATAGAGCTTAAATAAAAAACACTTTTGTTTGTATTTACCAGTTTTAAAATTGGTCTGTTAATATATCGCAAATTTCCCGTGTAACACTTTCTTTGCTGGCACGTATTGTTAGACGGAACATCTGAAAGGAAAAAAAAAATGCAAATATGATTTTTAATAACAGTTTTAATTAATACACGAATATTACAAGCGGTAGTTATCTTAGAAGATTTCCAAAATTATCTAAAAAACTATTACAAACAATTTTTTTTTAATTTTTGATGTTATAGCTCCCATTTATAGTTTCGTCCAATTTTATCTTAATGGTGTACAAGAGAGAAATCGGCTCAGATTTAGTTTCTGGTACACATGCTGCTGTGTACCAGAAACGTTTTCTCGTCAACATAGGTGTTGATCTGTGTTCGTTCTGTTGTGACTGATAATTTTTTTATATATATATATTCTGTACTACTCGAACAATCGATTTGATATAATAAATGCCAATATCAATCGATATTTCCTCATATATACTGCAAAAATATTCCGGCCTTCTTCAAAAAGGCTATCGAAATTGAATCGTTTTTTTAGGTTAATTCCAATTTTTTGAGTTTTTATTTCAAATATTTATTTATTTTGAGAATTATTTATTGTTTTCTACTAATTCAAGCAATTTCTGGTGCAATCGGACCTTTATTTTCTATAATAAGGGTTATTTTGTGAATGTAAGGTGTACTGTACAAATTTTTGGCAATTTTCATAGAATTTACAGATTTTTTTCAGAAATTTGCATCTGTAAATGATTTTATCGGTGCTTAGCTTACATAATTTAAATAAATTTAAGAGCTTTTTTAAAAAATATTTTCAAAAAAATGCAGTAAAGTAAAAAATCGCAAAATGTTTTAATTATATGGCCACTTCAAAGACGATACATTTTCATAAAAACCTTTATTTATGGAAAAATTGCATGCAATAATTTTCTATTTTCACCCGAAATCTCTCAAGTGCAGTATATCGAAGTGTTCTGAATTAAAAAAATTCCAAAAATACTTCAAACGAATCGAGGGCTGATCAAAAAATGTTTACCACAGTAAATGTTTTAATTCTGTGACCACCACTGTATATATATATATATATATATATATTTCGAACTGCACGAAATTTGGCGTAATGGACTAAATTGAGTCTATAATGATGTGTGCTAAGTTTCGAGAAAATCGGTTCAGATTTAGATATTGCTCCCATATATATTTTCGTCCGATTTTATGTTAATGGTGTACCAAAGTCCTTATATACCTTTCGACTTCCACGAAATTTGGCATAGCACATTGAATTGAGTATAGAATGCTGTGTGCTAAGAAAATCTATTCAGATTTAGATATAGCTCCCATATATATATTTTTGTCCGATTTTAAATATGTGATGATCCAAAGACCAAAAGTTTGGCCGATTGACACAGAATTTTGCACAGCGTACTGAATTGGGTATAGATTCATGTATGCGAAGTTTACTTGAAATATTTGTGTCCGTTATTAAGTAAATGGTGCACCAAAAGGCATATCATTAGGCCGATTGGCATAACATTTTGCACAGCATACTAAATTATGTCCAGATTAATGTATGGGAAGTTTTGTTGAAATTGGTTGAGATTTAGATATGGCTTTCGTCAGATTTTAAGTAAATGGTGGTCCAAAGACCCAAAGTTATGCCGATTGACACAAACTGAACTAGGTCGCAATTGATGTATGCGAAGTTTTGTTGAAATCGAATCAAATTTAGATATAGTACACCAAAGACCCAATGTGAGGCCAATTTAGAACTTGGTATGTCCAAGGTAGACGCATCCCCCGTCTATAATTCGAAAATCCTTTCACCAGAAGGTGAAAGTTAGGAATAAAGTCCTGAAAGCTTTGGCTGGATAAAGGAATAAAGTCCTGGGGCAAGGATAAAGAAACGTTGGCCATTGGTCGTTCCATCTTCAACTATGCTGCCTCGGTCTGGACATTTTTTCCTTAGCGACACACAATGGAGATCCTTGCAAATTACACAAAAGAATGCACTCATAAATGCATCATCTGGTGGATCCAGATGACGAGTGTCGATCCTCCATAAGAAGGCCACGTTGCTGCTAGTCAAGCAACATAATGTGTTGTTGAATAGACAGTTCCTGCTAGCACGCTATTTGCCATCCCAACCATCGCACAGTGATGACTGATGGAGTTATTGTGAAGGCATCCAATACGTACTCTATAAACGGCTACAGGTGCAAAGTCCTACTCTTCCGGCAATTTCGACATACTCCTATTCCTAATCCCATTAACACAATAAATTAACATTTGTTCTGATTTATGTTTTCTTTTCTATTTTTCAGAAATTAATATTCGACTGTAGTTAACCTGTTAAAATAACAACAAGCGGTGACCGTAAGTAAAACCATTCCTAATTTTAATTCGGCCCTTAAAACAAATAAACACATTGAAAAATCATATTTGTACATACCTGTGCTTGCTTGTTAGGTTCCAGTCTTAATAGACAACCAACTTGTTGTGACTGTGTGTGGATAATACCCGCACATACCATATTGTCTGGATTGGGATCAACATTATCCAATAATTGCATGCCAAAGCCCATTAATTTATTACGAGCACCGGCTAAATCTAAAGGCTGTTGAGCTTTGAAAACTTTTTGGGCTCGTTGTTGTTCACTGGAAAATAATAATAATAAAAAAAACATTTCAAAAATTATTTTTGAGAAAATAATTGTTGTTGTAGCCGCCTCATTGACATACGTTGATCAAGTAAGACTCGGATCGTAAACCCCTTTGTCGTGGAAACAACGAATAAATTAGTATTTTCCTTTCTTACTTACCCACTTAAATTCTTCCATCGTGCAAAGAATGAATCGGCATTCATTTCCGTTGGTTCAAAGAACTTATTTATGGTCAATGGCAGCTTAATGCTGAATTTTTGTTGAACACCATTATAACGGAAATTCACCTCAATTGTGGGTGAATCAGCATAGTCTTCTATACATTCGGCGGTTAACAGCTGTTGGATTTGTGCACCGGCTTCTAAGGTGGGTTCAACAGGTTTCATTTGAACATTTAATTTTAAAGCATTTTCCGGTTCCCATTGTAGGACAGGTGTGAAATTCTGAAAAGAAAATACATAAATATCCCCTTTTATTAGATTATGGAAGGTATCATTCTTACCGTTAAAGGAATCTGTGTTTTGTTGCCATAGAATAACCCCAAACGTCCCAAATTTTGTCGGAATTCACTCTTAACACCAATCTGTAGCATTTCATTTTCAAACAAAACACCATTGTTCTTGAAAAGGAACTTTTTGGTATTGTAAATTGCTGTACTATTATTGGCACTGCCATATATATCGCCCAGGACATCAATTAATGTGCCACTGTTATTGTTGACAGCATTGTTGGCCGGTGGTGTACTGAGACCCAATAAATCAGCATTGGCATTGCTGTTGACTCTGTCAAAAGAAAGCAAAACAAAATATTCAATTCCATATTCAATTTCCACAATCTAGAAGCTAGAGACACTTACTTATGATTAGTTGCAGCATGAGTATTATTCTGCACAGCCACTGGTGCTGGACTCTTTGATTCGCGTATTTCATTTTCTGGTACCCGACCAGGTTTCTTCTTCTTCAACACCGCCAATATGGAGCTTTCCCTTTCGGGGAATGAGGGCATTTCTTCCAACACTGTAGCCAGTACATCTGTGGAAGCGACAATGCTCAATTGCAGATATTCACTAGCACGCTGTTGCAGCTCAGCATCGGCTGAACGTAAATTACTATGTTGACGGAATACTTCTTGAATGTTGGTACGTATCTCAGGGAATAGATTTATGAATTTAATATAGGTGGACAGCAGCAAAGCCCTTGTCATGGGTGAGCATAAATGATATTTTGAGTGCAGCAGTTTAAATTGCACCAAAGGTGCTGAGCGCGAATCGCCAGCAATTAAATTACCAAATTCACCCAAAATATAACCGCCAACTTTAACCATGTTTTCATGGCAAGCGGGAGCTTGCAAAGCTTCAAATACCGTCTTTGCGGCATAGCCTTGGACCTCTTCGCGATTAATGACAATTTGTATGACACGATACCAGACTTCTTCGGAGACATAATCGCCGGCAATACGAATGAGATTTAAGATGACATCGACGTACCTAAAGAAAAGGGAAAACGAGGATCAATATTGATAGAGGTAATCGTTTAGAATAGGCTGGCTTACCATGTAAAATCGGTGGCATATTTTTCAGCTAAAATGGCCACCTTGAGTACCATTTCCTCGCGTATGGAATAATCAGCTGTTTCCAAATAATTCAACATTTCCTGTACAATTTCCTCGGCATTGCTGCGATCGCACATGGCATACAGCAAATCAACTGCCATTTGACGCACCGAAACATCCTTTTCCATCTGGAATAAAAGAACAGATAAATAAGTTTTTCGAAATTAAAATTCCTATTGTCATCCTACCTTCATCGACAAAATCACCACTTCCTGATGTTTCTTGACCTCCTCATGTGAAAATTCCGATGTTGCCAAATGGCACATCGACTCCAAGGCCAAATAACGTAAATTCGTTTCACGATTACTCAAAAATTGTCCCAATTGATTGCAGGCACGCACCAACAAATTGGGTTCACTGTCACTGTGTATAATGAGATTGATCGCTTCGAAGAGTACAGCGTTTTTAGCATTTGAATGCTGTACTTTTTTACTCTTTGGTGGCTCTTGAGCCTTATTCAAAATCGTTTCAAGTGTTTCATTTAAACGTGCCCGAACGCCTGGTTCTTCTGTTACAGGATTATAATTTTGCAATAGGCGTAGCAATTTAACCGATAACCAGGGGGCTGGCACAAAATAATATGTATAATCCTGTAAATCAGTATAACTAGCGGTAACAATACGCGATAAACGAGAAACAGCTAAATTGACGCAACCCTTATATTCATCCGGGTTGCGTTTGACCAAAGCATCAATCAGTGAAGTGGCAGCGGTAACAACACCCATATGTTGATCGTTCAATAGATGAATAATGCGTGAAGTCCATTCACCGCCAGGTATGATGTCGGGACTGGAACGGAATAAACGTAAGAGACACAGAGCAGCAGATTGTTTGACCACATCCATGGTGTCTCTGGAAATACAAAAAACACACACACACACACACAATTAAATAATGCTCGATAAAGGTAATTGGAAATTTAAAACTTACCCCGATACCAATAACTTTGGTATTTCATTGGAGAACGATTCGGCCATATCGCGGCTACCAATATTGGCAATGCACTGCAATGCCAAATTAACATGTACCGGATTACGAGATTGCAAATCATTTTTGATCGATTGGATTATCAAACGAATCAAATCGCTGTTTGTATTCACCAAAACCGAGATGAACAAATAGCCCTGGGAGAGAGAGAGACAACAAATTGAATTATTTTAAAATTAAAAATAAAATTAAAAAAAATCACTACTTACAATTTGTTTTTCCGAATATTTATTCGATGATAGCAAATTAACAGCTTCCATATGGCCAAAATCGATATCATGCCCCAGCAGAAATATGAACAGCAGCTTACAGACATATTTCTTTTTCTGATACCCATCTAACGTTTTGTCACCTTTAAATTTGCTACGTATATTGGCTAACTCTTTATTGATTCTTTTTACTTCCGCTTCTTTACTTTTACCTAAAGAGATAGATAGAGACAAGAAAACAAACATATAAATAAAATGCAGGGAAAAGAGTAGCTAAATGAAAATTTCTTTATGATTATTAAATTATAAAGGGGAGAGGGAAGAAAATAAATAGATTTTTTCTCTTCCTGACAAGTAAGTTGTTGTATACTCTTTGCCGGAAGCATTAATCTTATGGCGTCACAAGTGAACGGTGAAATGGAATGTGGTGATGGGAATATTAATTCAAGCTTTTCAAAAAGAAGAGGTAAAGAGGTAAATATATTCACATCGTAATATATATTCCAAACTTAGAAGAAGTTCGAAGATGGAGGATATCGATCCACTCCTTCTGCTAACTCCCTAACAAATTGTCAAAATTTTTAATTTTTATAAATCCTGACAAAAGCGAATGAAATGTCCGATTTGACCCAAATAATGTAAGTAGATGGGACCCATCACTTAACTCCTTCCGATGCCTCTCCTACAAATTGTCAACATTTAAAAAATTTGTTAATTTAATACCAAGCGAATGGAATGTCCGATTTGACCCAAATTTTACACATTGAAGTACTTCTACCAAATCTTAATCGTGTCCGATGATGGGACCAATCAGTTCACTCCTTCTGGTACCTCCCCGAAGAAGAACGATTTTTATATAGTTCCATTTACTATATACAAAAAATAAGGAAAAAATATAAGCACATATTCTCATATACTAACAGAGCGCAATGAAAAAAAAAATAAATAAATAAAAAATTTGTCATATTTTCCTTATCAATCCGCTGTTGTAAATAGCTTGCAATGCATTTTATACATACATATATGGCAGTTAAGGTCATTGGACATAGAGATGAGTATTAAAAAAAAATATTCAGCGAATATTTTGGAACAAAAATGAGTACTGATTATTATGGGAAAATACAATTAAAATCAAATAGATAGATCAAACAAAATGCATACAATCCACGCCTTTGGTCGAAAAATCCACTCTTATACTAGACCCTGGAAAATATTCTTTAACAAATCCTCATAGAGTCATCAAAAAATATTCTTATTGGCATATTGACCATGAAAAAATATTCTTAAAAAAAATTTTTGTTTAAAAAAACAATATTTTGAAAGTAGGAATTTAAATAAAAAACTAATTTTTCGGTAAAGAATCCCTGGTTCATCCTTTATATATTTTCTATGTATTTTAAATTTTTTCTTTACAATATTGTAAATATTACAATAGAATAGTTGACAGAATATTCCTCAATTCTCAACATTTATTCGAATGGACTTTTCACCCATAAACTATGTTTTCAACATTTTTATAGACAACAACAAAAACTTTGTCAGATTATCGTTATATGAGAATGTGTCAAGCGCCAATGAGTGTGACTGTCACAAGTTAAATACAAAACAACAACAACAACAAAAAACGAATATCCAATATACATAAACATATAAATTTCACACATTTCAGCTAGAATGCCAATGAACTTAAACAACTATTTTTTCACATGTCGCGATGGTCAACAGAATGTTGAAATTATAACAAATAAAATAAAAATAAAATAAAAAAAATTAAAAAAACAAATTAAAACAAACATTATTTTTTAATCAATTAATTTGAGTTATGTCATTTGGCATTTTTGCCAAAATAGATACTTTTTGTGTTGATGCGAGAAAAAAAATTAAAGAGAATCAAACGACTGATACACCACCACCAACCAACCAAGCACTGTCGCTTGTCTATCCTCTATCATTCATGATGGCTTTATTTTTTTGAAAAAAAAAGAATAGAACTCAGCTTAAAAAAAAATTGACGCCCCTATAATTTAATAAACATCATTTTTATTCAATTATAAATAAATGTCTAAAAAGCTGTAGTGATTTCAATTTATCACAGTTAATGTAATAATTTTACATGATGTGTTTTGCACCACTACACAAGAGCATTATGATGTAGTGATTTCAATTTAGTTTCTGTTGATCAGTTAATGTAATAATTTTACGAAGAGATGATGTGTTTTGCACCACTACACAAGTAAGCATGTAAAGTTTTGATGATTCGTTGCCACTTTGTGAGTGAGGTGCCAGAAGGAGAGGATCCTATCTTCGGACTTTATATAGGTTTGGTAAAAGTAGTTTGGATGAAATTGGGTATTCCATTCTATTGCTTTGTGGGAGAGGTAATAGAAGAAGTGAACTGATGTAAGTGATTTCAAATTTGCGAAAATTAGCACACAGTTTAGACCTCACTACGCTATGCCAAATCTATATATTTAAGATAAAATTGGACGAAAATATATATGGTAATCTGAACCGTTTGTGTCCCAATTTTAATAGGGTTTGTCCTTGGGTCAAATAAATGAGTTGTGCCAAAATTCATCCAATAGGGATCATAAATGCTTTGTTTAAAATTTAACATGGACAGATAGACCGACGGACGGGCCTGCATAAATCGACTCAGAAAGTGATGACTATGACTATGTTTACCACATAAAAAACAGTGAGCGGAGCAGTATAGTCGGACGGGGCCGACCATATTATACCCTACACAACTTCCACGAAAATCTAACTTTCTGTGGTTCTATAATCTGAGCATGGACAATATTTCGCGATATTTGCACCGTCTTGACCGACTAGAGGTCAATATAATATTCCCTTCGCCATGGGTTGTATTGTGATGTTCGGCTTTCAATTGTGGCCTCGAAAAAACACAAAAAATTAAATTTTCGATCCACATCATCCCAATATTATTTCGCCATGGGTTGTACTGTGATGGCAAATTTCAAAGCGATCAGCAATATATTTCCGCCCTCTAGTGTGGTAATGGATTACTAAATAATTTATGAATACGTAAGCACCTTTAAATATTTAAGTGTAACTTCGACATCCGAGTACATACGACAATATAATTGGTATCAATTTAAAGGTCAACTAATCATCTTGATCCCGATCCCCTTCTCCATGTAAAAAATCGAGATGTTTGGACTATAATTGCGGTCTCTAGAACGACCAGAAAAACAGACATTAAGTATTTCATCCCCTAAATATTAACCGAACTTTACAAAAAACAATAGGGGTCTCCATTGGCCACAACTCATTCTACATGCAAAATTTCATGAAGATTATAATGGACAGACGGACTGGCACACATGTTTAGATCGACTCAGCTGGTCGAGATATGACGATAGGTATACTTAAATTTCTTGGGGCTGCACAAAGCTATAATACCCTGAGAACATAGTTGTGTAGGGTATAAATATTTTTAAAATCGCTGTTTGATCTTCAAATAATTGTACTGAAAATCCACGGCTTATTGACTTTTAAAAAATATTTTAAAAATAGCCCTGTTCTATATTATTATCATCCTCTTCGTATTGGCCAGCCTATAGCTTTTCGATGTTTATATTTTTTTGATCAAATTCCTTTGCCAATGAATTGAATACACAACAAACAAAATAGATCTTGCGTGATCAATTTTCAAAAAAATCCCAACAATTTCTCTGCGAACGTGATAAATGATTAGTTTCATTTTCTTTTTTTAATTTGTTGTTAATTATTCAAAAAAAAAAAAAAATATTGATACTTACAGTTTCTTATGTCTGATATAAAAACCGCCAGACCGCGCATACCATCTCCCCGCACAGGTGCCATTGTTGTTAGTTTGTTAATTTTTAAAGTTTTTCAAAAACTCGCTCAAGAAGAAAAACGGTCGGTCGCTTTTGTTTTTTAACAACTATATAATATAGTTGTTAAAAACGGATGTTAGGCTTTGTTTATGTGCCGTTTTAAACTCTCCTCTTTTTTAGGGGAGAGTTTAAAAAGTGTTTCGTGTGTCGATGTGCTTTTTTAACGAATGCCCTCAGTCAATATGACCGTAGCAGCAATTGTAGACAGCCAAAAGAAGATTCTAAATTGAAAATTGTTTGCTTGATTGTGTAAAGTATAGATGCAGTAGCAACAATCACAGTTCTACTGGCACCACCAAGTCATTCACAAAGACAGTCGACGTACAGCAAGAACAATTACAATATAATGAAACAACAACAGTAACACGTTTGTATTTTTTTTCTTTCTTAATTTTTGCTAGCTGTTGTCGTTTTGTTGTTGTTATTTATTTTGTACACAAATCTTTCTTTTTTATGTTCACAAAACCGGCATATAAACAATTGAGGAATACAATTTGTATGTCCACAATAGAGCAGCAACACCGATTAATGTTCGGAAAGAAATATTCACTCGATTCGTTCTTCAATTGAGACTGATTGCTTTAAAGTGGTGTTTGCTTGTTGTGATCGTCGTCGGACACACAGAGAGAGATTTGATGGTGATGCTGTTGCTCAGAACTCTGGTGTCAATACTCGCAACAGATGATGTTGTTGTTGTCGTCGTCGGTCGCAGAGGTGCTCCTGTATTTGATTTTTACTAAATAATTTTTATTTATTTATTTAATGTAGAGTACGTTGTCAATACGTTTTTAGACTCTTTGTGACCTGTAAATAAACGAAGAAAACGAAATTAATTAGTACACATTGCCAAAAAATTATCGAATCGAATTAAATTGGAAAGCAAAAAAAAACAAATAGAGTAAAAAAAATAATCAAACAACAACAACAAATTATTTGGATCTAGAGGCGTTGTTTATTTTACAGTATGTACTCTCTGCTTGCTGATACCGTTTTGCTTATTTGGTCATTGTTTTTTTTATCATAAAAATATAATATATATTATTCGAATACGAAACAAATCTCCGACAAATTTCCCACTTTTGTTGAATTGCATATCTGTATGCTGCTTTCTTATCAAGAAAAGCGAAAAAAATTACAAAAACAAAAACACTAACAACGATGACTTCGACGTCATGTACTACTAATAACCCGTAGAGGAGGAAGCTCTGAAATCCCCACAAATCAAATAACAAAGAATTTTTGTTTAGGTATTAAAGAGCGAACAATGAAGCGACAAAGCGAAAACCCACTTAAATCAAAGAAAAGTTAGGACATTATGTATTTAAATTGAAGAAAGTGATTTTGAACTTCCAAAATTACATGAGCCACGATTATGATTTGTTTATGTGAGATTAGGGATGTACGGTTGTTAGTAACAACCGTCCACACGGAGACTATTGTCCATTGTGATCATCCTTTATACCTGAAAAGAGAACGGGAAAAGAGAGAGAGTGGAAGAGAGAGGAGAAGATAGTAGGAGAAGGAGAGCCTAAATATGGTTATTTTAGCCATGCCAGATTTTCGACAAAGCCTAGGATCTGGTTGGGGTCTATTTTAGAGAAGAAAGCTAGATGATCCATTTCATATCTTTCAAACTGTTTATGTCATCTGCCACTCAGCGATGGACATCTACAGAGGATATGTTCAATTGTTTCACAGAGACGACAGTAATCCTCTCCGCTGGAGTGCCATTTCAAAGTGAGAGATCTAATTCTGCTGTGGCCTGTTATGATCCCCACAATGATTTTGACCTCTCTATCTTATTATGTGCCAGCAGCGAAGAAGTTCTTCGGCGAGAGAATTCAGGCCAGATAGCTTTTGAAATTCTGCAATCAGGTTCTCTCGAACATCTCTGTTAAGTTTATATGAGTTGTATATTTATAATTCCCTACAGTAAACACCTGCACCTTCCCCATCATATATAGTCATCGGTCCCGTATTATCGACAGTAAGTGTTTTTTACTATATCAGCCGCTTTTATGATTGCAATGATTTACGTTTCAAAAACGCTACCAAGATTGTTAAGTTTATATGAGTTGTATATTCATAATTCCCTACAGTAAACACTTATGACAGACCTGGCAGGACTCTGATGTCATTAAAGTCTCTATGAGAGGGAACGTAGTCACTAATGTGAATATTTCCAGTCAAGAAATCACTACCTGGCGTTATGTTGAGGATACTAGCGTCAACATAGTTCAGCGACATCCAGGCATCAGTTTCTCAGAGCCTCTGGGCACATCTGGCAGCCTGTGGTGTACGCATTCAAGACTGTCTGTGGTGTACTTCTTAGTCTGGGTTTATACATGCAACTTTTGTAAGCAACTCTGCTGTGTTCTTAGAAGAGTGAGGTATAAAAAGTGCCGGTCGCTGTACTGAATTTAATTTTGTCAGCAGTATCAGCCCTTTCTTAACTTTTAACTTTTTTTCTGTTTATACCGTGCTTTTTGTGCAAGACAATATTTAAAAATGCAATATCATGTGAATGGGATGTTCGATTTGATCCAAACATTGCACAACCAATTATCTTTACCAAGCCTACATCAAGTCTGACCATGGGACCCATTGGCATACTCCTTCTCCCCCACAAATGGTCTGGGAGAACAAAACATTGCCCAACGTATTATCCAACAATGTCCTATTCTGTAACTTTTAAAAACATTCGATATTGTTTAATTTTTTTTTTTGTTATTGTAAAAACAATTAAACAAACAAATGAAATTGTTGTAAAATAAACAATATCGAATGTTCTGAAGATGGGTCACATTGATCCAATACTTCTGGTATGGTCAAAATTTGCAATATTTATAAATACAAAATCAGGAGAATAGAATGTTCGATTTGAACCAAATATTACACAACCTATTATCTTTACCAAGCCTACATCAAGTCTGACGATGAGACCAATTGGTCCACTCCTTCTAGTAGCTGCCCCACAATGGCGTCAATAAATTTATGAGGTCCAACTTAAGTATTACCAAATACCCCAATGTGTATGTTTCTTGTCGTTCTCAGGAATTAGTACTGTCTTACGGCACATTATATTGTAGTTTAGATCTACGCCTACATATATAAAGTCGAGCTCACCATTCACTGGTCATTCACAAGTTCGTGAAATGAGTGCTTGAACAACAGGCGATGGACGGCAATTTTTCGAAGAAAAATTTCTTCAGCGATAAAGCTGAAATTTCTAAATCGGGTTCGGGTCCTAATGTGTGATTGGACCTTACTTCTTCGAAAACGGACGATGGATCAACAATCACCATCAATTCGTAACATTACGGTCATTTGATAACCGATTTTTATTTTACCTTCTGTTGCAGAATCCGACTTGGAGAATATGTTGTTTCAACAAACGATGCCACATAGGACACACAAAATAAAACTGTACAACCTGACCTTCACCTCTAAATAATTCGGGCCTGAGCTTTAAACTTGATTCAAACCGATTCCAATGTCTTTGTTTTTGATACTTCAGTTTAGTTTTTTTCACGAATTTAGGCTTGATTACACGGCATATCATTGATACGATGTTTACATCGAAAGTTCATCCATTCTATCAAAAAAATAATTGTTTTTAATAATTTATTATATCATTATCACAATTTCGTTATAAAAAATAGTTTACTATCTATTTCTAAGTTTTTAGTTTCTTTAGAAAATTCGAGGGTTATGATTCATTTTTGTGTTTCAAAATATTCCACATTCTGCTACCACTAACAAAATAAGAAAACATCAATGGAATATTGTAACCACAATGGCCAACATTCCTCAACGTGTTCATTGTTATCCTTTAAATTACGATATACTCGTTCGTTATCCACCCCCTCCCTATTTAACACCCACATCACAGCACACATCCATATAAACGCCATCTACAACTCATAATTAGCTCTTGCACATACAAGAACTTTTTGTCGCTGGCGTCGCAGTTGCGTCGACGTTTACGTTTGAGGGCAATGGATAACGCCGCTGCTACTTTTTTTTGTCAAATAACAAATGACGATGACCACGGACAAAGTGTCAAAGTGAAGAGGAAGAAAAAAAACCAACAACAAAACATGAAGACTTCATAAATGTGAAATATGTAAAATGTAGTAGCTTGTTGGCTGGAGGAGTTTAAATTTATCTCTGGTGCACATTCGTACAAACACACACGCACGTCATCACCATCATCATCATTGTCGTACACAATAAATAAATGTCAATTTTTCTTGATAACACCAAATTTTGTTTTCTCTCTTGCAATTAATTGACACTCGGTGTCAATTGTTTTTTTTTTTTTTCTTTTTCTCAAATCACAATAATCAATTTATAAATCCTCCCACTAGAATGTGTTTATCACATTATATTTTTTTTTCTTGTATTATTTTTATTTTTTGCTTTTGGGTCAGTTCACTGCCGATTTTTTTTCACTCCTGTTGAAATCAATAACCGATTGAAAAAAAATCTTATATATTTTCATTGAATCCTTGTCTCTTTTACATTAATTTCATTTTCCACACTTTGAATATTGGATAATATTCACTATTTATTTCTATTTTCATTGGTTTTACTATTTTTTCACAATTTTTCCATTTTCATTACCGTTTTTGTGTAACAACTATTGTATGTGGAACGCTGTGCTCGGCTTAAATTGAATTCCAACAGGGCACACTAAACAAGGTGTGTCAAATGTCACAAAACAACAAAATTCATTAAATTTCAAACAGCACAGCATTACATATTTTCGACTAATATTTAGCTAATATTTGAGAATATTATGTAAATACCACAATAAAAATAATAAACCATTAATTGTCGAAAGAAAACCCCTATTCAAAATATGTATATACTACGAAACAGGTTACCACCAATGACTTCTGACATTTAGACATTACTACAGAGAACAGCTGTTTTGTTTTTAGTTGCCGTTATTAGTGTACCCTATATTCTTTCCAGCACTTGCGTACACCCAATTAACTGACACTAACTCACTCACTCGCTCACATACACACAAACACACTTATACAAAATTTTAATTTTCACCTCCTCTATTTTTTTTCTTTTCACTTTGTTTTATCGTAGTTGTTTGTTAATTATTATTTGTATAGCAATATAACTCACTTTATTAAATTATTACTTATTATTTATCACAAATATATTTGAACACTAGCTACCACGACTGAATGTTGTTTTCAACAAAGAAATTCGTCGGAATCGCCAAATCAACACCGCAAAATTTTCTCCTGTTTGACAGTAGATTGATTATTCTAGTTTTTTTCTTAAATCATTTGTATGATTATCGAGTATTCGGGTAATCGTCTTTCCGTTTCGTTTATTATTCTGGGGCGTAGCGAAACGCTGCAACGCATGGCGCCTACAAAATGAATTTTATGTGCGATGTAAAGAATGTGCGTTTAAAGACGTTATAGGGCGCGTTTAGATTACTAAATCCACTCGATCTCAAATGTCAATTCCATAGCGTATACGTCAAATATAATCCACTAAACGCGCTTATACGAACCACCAATGTCATATGTATTGTCAAAATGTATATACTGTACACGTCGATGTAACAACGCATGTAATTTTTTCTTTATATCTGTATGTATTTTCATATGCAAACCATGCAAATCAGCTGATGCCATATTTTAGGTAAAAATCAACAGTGCTACCAACATTTCAATGAAAATTTATATCAATACATATTACAGTGCTGTTTAAAATAAAAACAAATATTTTCAAAGATTGTGGACGTTTTTTTAAGTCTGCTTTTCCACAGGCAGATTTTTATTTGGCAAATTTTTTCGCTTGCTTTTCCATTAGCAAATTTTTCTTTGCCAAATTTGCGAATCAAAATACAAAAGAAAGAAAATAAAAGTCAAAAGTTTTTGCATTTTAAAGATTTTTTTAATATTTTATTTATTTTTTATATATTTTATTATATAAATTTCAAAAATTAAATTTCACTTGCACAAATTAAAGCAACAGGTTTGTAAACAAAAGCCGGCTGTGTGTCAGTAAAGCGAATAGGTTCAAAAGGAAATGTCAACAAAATTGTTTTCAACGAACAGAGCAAAGCAGAATTTGCGTGTACGGCAAATTCTGAACAGGCGAATTTTTGTTTTTCTTCCTCGCACCCCTCTCGCCTACAAAGTCAGTATTTGCCAAATAAAAATTTGCCTGTGTAAAAGCAGACTAACGAATGTATTTTAAAATAGAAGAAAAATTGATAGAGGAAATAAAAAAATACGACATTTTGTATAACTTGAAATTTGGAAGAATGATTAAAGGCTGAATCATTGATTTTCAGGCTAAATTTACCATGATTTACCACACAAATTTAAATCATCGTATACTGATTGAGATGCAACGCGGGTTTTGTACGAAAAAATACAACTCTCACAATGTACCAAATTTTGCAACTGTTTTTACATGCCGTTTGTTTTTAAATTTGACGGCTGACAAATACAAATATGACAGATCAAAGGAAAATAAAAATTAATTATAGAATTTTTTTTTTTGTTTTTTTGCAAAAACATTTCCATTGTGGTAATTCTTCTATTCTTTTTCAAATTGCAAAGAAATATTTTTGGCGCAAATTAATAATTTTGTATGTATACTAACAAACATCAGCTGATCGGCATTTAGATCATGATTAAGGGTATGTGTAAACAATTAGGGTGTATTTCTGGATTTCGTTAATCGACTCGATTTAAAATCGTATATGTAAATGTACTTTTAGCCAGTCCTTTGCGATATTATATCCAGTCCTTATATGCGATTTCGACTGTATTTAATTTCCACCAGATATTTTATTAGTCAACATGTTTTGTATCGAAAGCGTATGACGCCTTGACGCGCTATCATTTAGTTGGCCAGGCAATGGTTAAGCCATATTTCATATTGTTGCGTGTGATGCGTGTGAATAAAAAGACATATTTTGTCATTTCTCCCCGATTCGAGAGGCATTTTTTTAAATGCTTTTATTAACAATTTTTTTAATTAAACAAAACCACGTTCCGGTATAATGTTAATACAAATTATATGTGTGGAGGATTTGGACAAATATCATTAATACATGAGTTAGATGAACAGAAACAGAAAATATTTAGCGGAAAGAAGAAGCACCCGAACCGAAAAAACGCCGTACAAGCACAAAAATAGAGTTTTGAGAGGGAAAGCCAAACAGAAGAAAACAAAATAAAAAAGAAGAGTTTAAACAAAAACATTTTATTTAACCTTTGAATTTTACGTTTTGTTGCCAAAATTCTGCGAAAAATGAGTTTTTCCAGCGACGAAGTAAACTTTTTAGTTTATCGATATTTACAGGAATCTGGTGAGTTGTGTGTGGAATTTTCCTAGCACTCGCGTTCGACACCAATACTAACACATGTATTTATTTTGGATTGCTTCTGCCATTCCTTGTAGGATTTTCACATTCAGCTTTTGTATTTGGCATTGAATCCCATATCTCACAGAGTAATATCAATGGAGCTCTAGTGCCACCTGCTGCATTGCTGACAATACTGCAGAAGGGTCTTTTGTATACAGAAGTTGAATGGTCTGTAGGTGAGGATGGTGTGCCCGTACGTCCCATAGAAAGCCTCAGTCTTATAGATGCAGTTATGCCGGAAGCGAAACCGCCGGTTTCATCGATTAAATCTGAACCCGGCAAAGGAGGAAATGGTGGGAGTGATAATTCGGCGGCGAGCAGTACAACGGCAACTGGCGGGTCGTCGTCGGGCAATAATGTCAAATCTGAGGTTAAAACAGAAAGTAATTCCAATGCAGCTGGTACAAATGCAAATGCCACGGGAACAGCAGCGGCAGCTGCATCGGGCGGAGAGAATACAGAAACAGACAGTGGTGCAGCTGCTAGTGCCACAGTAGGTGGTTCACCAGCTGGTACCAGTGGTACGGCGGGGGGAAGTGCAGCAACATCAGGTTCGACAACTACTGCCGGTGAGGATAAGAAACCAGATATTGCTGCTAGTAGTTCAACAACCAATACAGCTGATGATAATGCATCGACCTCGTCTACAAATGGTAGTTCCAGCAACAATGCCTCTAATGATGCCTCCGCTTCTGCAACCGGTACGGGGCCAGCGGCAACCTCACGAACAGCCACACCCACAACAACAGCGCAAACAGGTTCAGCTGGTGGTGCTGGGTCAACACCGGGTGGAGGAGCTGCCACATCGGCACCTACTTCAGCTCTTGGATCGTCACCAGCAGCTACCACTGCCGGTGGAGCTGAGCCCATGGACATTGATGCCGCCATTGAAATACCAGCATCAAAAGCTACTGTATTGCGTGGTCACGAAAGTGAAGTATTTATTTGTGCTTGGAATCCAAGTCGTGATTTATTGGCTAGTGGTTCAGGAGATAGCACGGCGCGTATATGGGATATGTCCGATGCCATGGCTTCGCCCAATCAATTGGTGTTGCGTCATTGTATACAGAAGGGAGGAGCTGAGGTGCCCAGTAACAAAGATGTTACTTCATTGGATTGGAATGTGAGTAGGAAACAATTTTTTATTAAAATGAAATGTACATTAATAATATCGATATCTCCAGTGTGATGGTACTCTCTTGGCCACTGGCAGCTATGATGGTTTTGCACGCATCTGGAAAACTGATGGCAGTTTGGCCTCAACTCTGGGTCAACACAAAGGCCCTATATTTGCCTTAAAATGGAATAAGCGTGGTAATTATATTCTCTCAGCCGGTGTAGACAAAACCACAATTATTTGGGATGCATCGACTGGCCAGTGTACACAACAGTTTTCATTCCACAATGCCCCAGCTTTAGATGTGGACTGGCAAACAAATAATTCCTTTGCCTCATGTAGTACTGATCAACGAATTCATGTGTGCCGACTAGGTTCCGATGTACCCATCAAAACCTTTAAGGGACACACAAACGAGGTTAATGCCATTAAATGGTGCCCGCAGGGTAAACTGTTGGCCTCCTGCTCCGATGATATGACTTTGAAGATTTGGTGTATGAATCGTGACAAATGTTGCCATGATTTACAGGCACATTCCAAGGAAATTTATACCATTAAATGGTCGCCGACTGGACCGGGTACACAAAATCCCAATACAAATTTGCTATTGGCTTCGGCATCATTCGATTCGACGGTACGTCTATGGGATGTTGAGCGGGGTATGTGCATACACACACTGACTAAGCACACAGAGCCCGTGTATTCGGTGGCATTTTCACCGGATGGCAAATATTTGGCATCGGGTAGTTTTGATAAGTGCGTACACATTTGGAGTACCCAAAATGGTAATTTGGTACATAGTTATAAGGGAACTGGTGGAATATTTGAAGTATGTTGGAATTCGAAGGGCACAAAGGTGGGTGCCAGTGCTTCGGATGGTAGTGTTTTTGTATTGGATCTTAGAAAGTTCTGATCGACAACGGTAGCAGCAGCAACAGCGAGCTCTTCTACAAGCGGCGGCACCACCGCCACAACTGGTGGTTTCTTTTAGAATATTCTGTTGTTCGGGGGGTGGTGATGTATTTTTTAAACACATTGAACTTTATAGTTTTTTTTTTTTTAATTTTAATTTCTTAAAACATAAAAATACAAGTAATAAGAACTATGTTTTGCATACAAACACATTTCGTAGATCATAAGTATGAATGTAAGGATTTTTGCTGCGGAAAATCATTTCATTTTTGAAGTTATGGCTATCCTCCCTTCTTCGTATAATAAATATATATTTAAGTATGGTATAGCAATTTATTGTCTCCACGTTCCCTCCCCTCCTTCGACGATGACTGTATTTTGCATTATTGTTTTGTTTTTGCCCCTTCTTTCATTTAAAATTTAGATTTTCTTTTGGTTTAAGTAACTGAGTTGCTTTTGAAACCCATCTTGAAATGTATGCTATGTTTTTTTGTATTGTTTAAGCATCTCTAATATTAATAATAATACGACGCATTTTAATTTATACAATGCTATTTAGAGCCCTTTCGTTCTGCTCAATATCCAATAATTACAACAACAACAAAATGTATCCTTAATATAAACAAAAATTTAATATTTGTAATGGAAACAACAAATTGGCTGAGTAAGAAAATAAAACGAAAAGAAAGTAATACGATAAAAAATACACACACATACTTTAATTTATAAATTAAATTTGAAAACTAATGCAATAAATTCTCTTGCAGAAAATATAAATATTTTTTTGAATAACATTTTAAGGTGTGGATTTGTAAAGAATATTTTTGGAAGAACTTTGAAAGGCGTGGATTTTTAAATATTTTCAAGGGTCTTTAGATACTCTATGAGTGGATTTTTTTTAATATTTTGTCAAAGGATTTTAGATGCTATAGGTGTGGATTTTTTTAATAATTTTTCAAAGGACTTAGATGCTCTAGGCGTGTTTTTTTTAAAATTTTTCAAAGATCTTTAGATGCTCTAGGCGTGGATTTTTTTAAATATTTTTTTAAAGGACTTGAAATTCTCCAGGCGTGTATATTGTTAAATATTTTTTCAAAGGACTTTAGATTCTCCAGGCGTGGAAATTGTTAAATATTTTTTCAAAGGACTTTAGATTCTCCAGGCGTGGAAATTGTTAAATATTTTTTCAAAGGACTTTAGATGCTGTATGAGTGGGTTTTTTTCAAAAGTATTTCTAAATATTTTTTCTAGGCTTTTTTAAATATTTTTGAGGACTTTTAAAGGCGAGGTTTTTTTACATATTTTTCAAAGGACTTCGGTTCTTTTTTTAAAGCTCGACGGACCACAGTCCGTTTTTGGGAGTTTTTTTGCGCGTGGATTTTTTTTAAATATTTGTTCGAAGTACTTCAGTCCCTTCTTGAAGACTTTAAAAGGGGCGAATTTTCCCTTTTCGAGGAATTTTTTCAAGGACTTTTTTCAAAAAAAAACTTCAGTCCTTTTTGAGAACATTTAAAGGCGCGAATTTTTGAAGATATTTTTTCGAAAGTCTTCAGTCCTTTTTTGAGAGCTTTTAAAGGCGTGAATTTTTTTTAAATATTTTTTCAAAGGACCTCAGTCCTTTTTTGAGAGTTCTTAAAGGCGTAATTTTTTTAATTTTAAAAGAATATTTTTTTAAGAACTTTTAGGTTTTGATTTGGAAAACGTTTAAAGACGAGGATTTTGAAAGAATACCTTTAAAGAAAATTTAAAGCGAGGATTTTGAAAGCATACTTTTTGATGATCTTTTAAAAAATTAATATTTTTCAGAAGAATAGATTTTCATCAAACGCCATGTGTTGTTTAACTCAAACTTCAAGCATTCCAATGAATGGTCTAAGGCTCTATAACCTACTACTCTATAACCTACTTTCTTGACAACAGTTCAAACATCTAATATTTTTTTAATTGATGCCTTTAGATCGATCCTTCAAATGCCTGGGGTACCCTTTTAGGTTATTACTTATTCGAAAACTTGAAAGATAATACCACAAATATTTTTTGTAAATAAACATATATTTGAGAATAATAAATTTTTTTATGAAAAACTACAACTACTTAAAAATCTACACAACTATCCAAAAATCGCTCCTTTAGCAGGCGACATTGTTCTCTCTTAACTTCTCCATCTTTGGTGGTACCTTTGAAGAATTTCGTTAATTTTGGACCAGCATATTTTGGTTTTTCGGAATCGGGTTCATCAAATTCCATATCATATGCCTTGTCGGCCAGAGCATTTTCCGCCGTGGACCAACTAAATCGCACCAGCCGTGGAAAACCAAATACCAAATCAATATTTTCCGACAGGAAACGCTTTGTAACCGGATCACCAGGATAACCGCTACCAAAATCATTTGATTTAAGTGTTAAACCTTCAGGAAATTGCCAAACCTTTAGAGCATGATCACGACTAACTTTGGCACAAATACTAGCCGCCGAAACAATGGGATATGTCGAATCAGCTTTTTTCGCAACAGTTATTTTAAATTGTGGGAAAATCGCTTGTAATTTTGCTTGATATTTTTCGGGTGGACCCACCGTATCGACATAGACTTCGGCAATATTAACACCATGATCAACGGCAGCGTGTATCAAGCCAATGGCCGAATTCATGGACACCTCATTCAGCGAACACTTTGCCCGCCGAAACATACTCGTACTAATCACATTTGGTGAGATGATTTCAACGGCCCATCCAATACATGTATTGGCATATTCCTTGGTATTAATGTCATCGAATATGATATCACGTTTCTCCTCGGTCAATTGTTTGGAATCGGCACAACCTAAATCAATTAGGGCTTGTTTACTCGTGATTGGACAGAAGGCAATGCCATATACCATAGGTCCCAGCACTGGACCTCGACCAGCTTCATCAACACCCAGCATACACGGCTCATCTTTACACACTTGTGGTATATCGGAAAAGTACACCGTATTTCTGGCATTATCCTTGGAGGCAATAAATGGTCCCAGTGATTTAAGTGAATTTATTTTATCAATACCTTCTATAGTTTCTTCGTTTTCTTTTTCACTCTCATTTTCTTCATTATTGATGGTATCGTTAATTGGTTCTTCTTTGATTTTAATCTTTTTCGGAGGCATTTTTCTTGTTTAAATTTGAGGTACAAATTAATATTAAAATGCAAAATAATTCGGCTACTTTGCAAATCGACTTCCTTTGGCGAATTTTAATTGACCAATTGCGCCTTTTTGTCTGTTTACATTTGGTGTGTTGTTATGCTTCTTCTTAATTGTGTTTAGTCACTCTCCACGAATGGTTATCACATTCACAGTTGATATATTGTGTCAAATGTGCAACATTTTCTGCAGCGTATGGTTATACGCTTTGGACACAATGAATGGTTATACGCTTTAGACAATGAAAAAGTGTTTGGCAATTAAAAAAATAGGTTTCAATTAGTCTGCTTTTCCACAGGCAAATTTTTATTTGGCAAATACTGAGTTTGTAGGGGAGAGGGTTGCGAGGAAGAAAAACAAAAATTTGCCTGTTCAGAATTTGCCGTACACGCAAATTCTGCTTTGCTCTGTTCGTTGAAAACAATTTTGTTGACATTTCCTTTTGAACCTATTCGCTTTTCTGACACACAGCCGGCTTTTGTTTACAAACCTGTTGCTTTAATTTGTGCAAGTGAAATTTAAATTTTAATTTTTGCAATTTATATAATAAAATATATAAAAAATAAATAAGATATTAAAAAATCTTAAAAAAGCAAACACTTTTGACGTTTAATTTCTTTCTTTTGTATTTTGATTCGCGAATTTGGCAAAGAAAAATTTGCTAATGGAAAAGCAAGCGATAATTTCAAAAGAGAAAACAAAAAAATTGCCAAATAAAAATTTGCCTGTGGAAAAGCGGACTTAGACAAATTGAAAATGTTATTAAATGACGTTACAATATCATTATTTTTGAGTCATGGGTTATGACACGTGAGATTTTAATCATATTTGTTTTAAACGAGATTTATAAAATATTTTTCAAGAATATTTTTACTGAAGCACATTTCAACTTTTTCGCATATTAAAAAGGGCTCGCCCTTTTCGGTATGTTGAGATCAAGGTATATTTAATAAGGTAGCCGCATCGGCCCAGCAGTTGTTGCAAATAAATGTCAAAAATGTTATTGTAATTGGAACCAAAAGATTAAAAAATAAAATTATAAATGAAAATCTCCGAATTTTGAAGAGCTTGTTTGGCAATATTTTTCATAACATTTTCTACAAGAATTTGTGTAAAAAAATCTAGTCAATCTGTTTGTTTTGGCAAAATATTTTTGACATATCAAAATACAACAACCGTTGTTGTTGTAGAAATTCGCCGATGAGGCTACCTTGTATATCTACCTTGCTCCTGATCGTACCATGGGTTTCATGATGGTGGTTTTTGGTAACTAAGTGTTTCTTTTACTGCAGTTGAATAGGGAGTAGGCAGTTCTCTGCCATTGAGATGCTTGAATCTGGTGCTGCTAACTGCCATGTTTTTTGCTACGGCGAAGTCAGTCAACCTCATGCCGATGTCTGAGGCCATAAATATCTTCCCTTCCTTTTGACTCATCTGTGATAAAAATTTTAAAATTATTCGCTACCGGAATTTGAATACTTGCTTCTGTATCTCATATATATTTCCGACCAATTTCAACCGATTGGTGCATCAAATACCCTACCTGCTTGTTCGATTGCGCTGTGTTTCAGCATACCGAATGATGTATTTTATACATTTATTTTTAAATGTTATTGTGTTTTATTCTGATCAATGACAAAAAAATGGATTAACCCCAGAAAATAATCTTCGATAAACGAAAATGCAAAAATATTATCGTTACTTATGGTGTTTCTACACGATATGTATTTTACATATGTGCTGTCACTTTTTTACATATGGAAATCGAACTCGTCATGTGAAACATACGGAAATTTCAATGTGTCAAAACGATATGCAATTACATATGTATTTTTTTCCGAATAGGACGCGCTCTATTTTCGTATGTGAAACATAAGGAAATCAGCTGTTTGAATGAAACACATTGTTGGAAGAAAATATTTCAATTGCAAGTCATAGAAAAGGATGAGAAGGCAACAATTACAAATTATTATTTCGTTTGTAGGTGTTTAATAAAAAAAATGATGTTGATTTAAGAAAAAATAAAAGTGTTTTTTTGTTTATAGGTTATGTCATATGTAAAATACATATGCCGATTTGAACACAAAAATAAATGTTTTGTGTACACTGCTAATTTTGACACACATAAGGAATTACATATGGATGAAAAAGTGACAGCACATATGTAAAATACATATCGTGTAAAAACACCATTACAATCCTTACAATGGTGCCATGGTACAATTATAAAAGGTAACAGCAAATCCCAGCTGATTTGATTCCAACGTAATACTAGTGTCAATATGAATTTGACAAATTATGTTTTTAAAAATCGGCCAACAGGAAAATTGGGAACGCATACAATTTGAAATTGTTCTTTATTAAATGTGCTCCTGTATTCAATTTACTCAATCTGCCTGCTGGGAAAGTTTGAGGAAGCAAATCTTTATTCAAGGAATAACTCGCTATTCCCAGCATTTTCATATGTGTTACACATATATATGGCAATGGCTCAATTATAGGAAAGATGTGGAAGCGATAGAAATATAAATTTGATAGATTTTCATTCATGTTTTTCAATTTTTATTTTGAGGATTCGAAAATATTTCATTTTCAAAATAAAAATAATTTGATGATAATTTGTTTATTTGTTTACATTTTTCTGTCAAAATAAAAAAATTTGAGTTGACACTAGTAGAACTTACAAAAACAAATTTCCATGTGGTTGTTGTATCGTTTTTTGTACAACAACACTTGCTGTTACCTTCTATTATTATACCATGCAATGGTGCCCAAATATCCTTGATATCAAATTCGGAACTTCAAATGTCTTCATCTCGAAAAATATTGATTTTTAACTTAGCACTTCAACAGCTTTCATTTAATACCATTTTTTTTTTTGTAAGAATTAAATATTTTTCATCACACCATTATAATAATGTTTATTAACAAATAACCCTAAAACGTCATGCGCCATACGTCGCCGTTTAGTTTCGCAACGTCAATGTAAATGCACAGTTGATAATTGTGTGAGTATTTTTCTAACGGATTGCGACAAACTTCACTCTGGTTTTCTTCTCTTTCCTTTCTTTCCGGTTTAGGACTCTGTGAAGTGTGCTTGTTCTCGATTTCGAGCTAAGGCCAAATTTTAGAAAAACTAAACATTTAATTTTTGGCAACTTGCACCAATTATTAAATAAAAAACAAACTAAAACAACATGTCAACCACTGCTGAACTCGCTTGCGTCTATGCTTCCCTCATCTTGGTCGATGATGATGTAGCCATCACTGTAAGTATAATAACAACAACAGTGACAGTATTCCAAAGAACAAAAAAAAATGACAACAAAGAAAATCCCTGAAAATCAGGGAGATCGCTGAATGAAAACACCAATTTGGAATGCTGCTGCAACACAGGGATTATAATTATTAATTTTGTTTTTGTCTTCCTTTTGTAGGGTGAAAAAATCTCGACTGTCTTGAAGGCCGCCAACGTTGATGTTGAACCTTACTGGCCCGGTTTGTTCGCCAAGGCTTTGGAAGGTGTCAATGTTAAGGATTTGATCACCGCCATCGGATCCGGTGCTGGCGCTGCCCCAGCTGCTGCTGCTCCCGCCGCCGGCGGTGCTGCCCCAGCTGCTGCTGAAGCCAAAAAGGAAGAAAAGAAGAAGGAAGAAGAACCCGAAGAGTCCGATGACGATATGGGCTTTGCTCTCTTCGATTAAACTGGACGACACAATGGTTTGTTTTGTTTTTACCACCATCAACAAAAACAACAACAAGAACAGAAAAAACGAAATGCTGCTTTTTTATACCATTTATACGAAAAGTGTATTTGATGTTATGATATAGACGCCCCCAACGTAAGAGTGAAACAACAGGACGTGGTTTTTTAGAAGATTTTGTACACGTTTTAATGTACAAAAATATATTTAAAAACAAATAAAAAAGTAACATTTTGGTTTTTTTATGAAAAAAAAAATGTAAATGATTTGAGTGTTATTTTTTTATTTTGAAGGACGGTCGTAAATTTAGCAATGGAATGCAGTTGGGATGACCTGTTGATTGTTTGGAAATTTGTTTTGGGGATATTTAAAGGTATTTATTTTAAAGGAATATTTAAGGCCTTGGTTGATTTATGTTAGGAAAAGCCTACTGTCAATGTCTTCTCAGCAGTAGGTGGAACTTGTTGATTGAAAGTTTATTAAGGGCAAGGTATATTTAATAAGGTAGCCTCATCGGCCCAGCTGTTGGTGCATATGTCCAAAATGTTTTAATGTAGAACCAAAAATTTAAAAAACATGATTATAAATGAAAATCTCCTAATATTTAAGAGCTTTTTGGCAATACTTTAATTAAAATTTTCAATAAGAATTTGTGTAAAAAATCTTATGAATCTGTTGGTTTTGGCAAAATATTTTTGACATCAAAATACAACAACCGATGTTTGTTGTGGAAATTCGTCTATGCGGCTACCTTACTGAATATACCATGATTAAGGGGGAAAACACATACGAGGATTCAGGCCTGCCCTGTTATGTCGGCTCCGTATGAATTGTCAATTTATAAGGAAAGATCAGAGTCAAACATGAATTTGGATACCGTTCTCCTTTATTCTTTTACAACAAAAGAAGCCAACTTAACATCCCAATCCTGAAAATCCTCTCATGTGTATTTAAAAAATCCTTAAGGGTATTTAACGTCAAGGACATGGTCCATCTTTGATTTATGTTAGGACTTGCAAAAAAAATACAAAATTGTGAGTTGTTAAACAGGCATTCGGTGCGTTTCTTTATTCAAGATTGGAGGAACATTCTTTACGGAATTGCTATTTACGATTGTGTTGAATATTTTCATTCAAGACTTTTAATTGTGCAAGATACTCCCTTTATAGAGTCAAATAAACTTCCATTTTTTTTGTCTACCGTAACAAACACTGCATTCCATTACTAATTTTTCAACCTCATCCATTCTTTGTATCCAAAATATGTCAGCTACTGTGCATTCCACATCATACAATTATTTCATCCAGCACCTTTGCAATTTCACGCAATGTTTCACCATTCAGCTCCCTGACACCCAGACCAATCATAAATTCATGCGGGCAATTATTCAATTTCGATCGATTCACCAGAAATTGAATACCACTACGGGTTTCATCACGATCCGCTCCAAAATTACAGGCAATTGTTATCGGCACCGACATATGAAATTGTGGATGATTTATGGGTCCCTGTATGGCCAGTGGTGCTCCATCATTTCGCTTCAAATCAAATTGTACACTGTACATATTTGGCACCCGGCCATACTGAGTGATCAGCAAAAACCATTTATTGGCAAAGGCATGAAAAACAAATTCCGTATCGACGCCATTTATTTTGCACGACAATTGTTTGTCGAAACCATTATTTTTCCCCGAAGAAATGCACATTTCTCTCGTTAATTTAGTTTTTTCTTATTGGAATTCACACGTTTGTTTTGTTTTTATTTATTTATTTTTCTTTTTTGCCGTGTCACAGAAAGCTAAACGGATTTTTGCAGGGAAATGTCAAATGGTCGATTTCGATAACAAGTCGATAATAGAAATGTTCGATTGTTGTTTAAATTGTTTTTTTTAAACGAGGCACATAATTTTCGGAGTTGTGCATGTATTTTATGATGGAAAATCATTACTTTTTGCAAAAAAAGGATTTAAAATCATATGATATGGACCGGAATTTTAAAAATCACTAAGGCAATATGGGTATCAAATGAAAGCTGTTGTGAACTGCTGATTTTAAAATCAATAAAGAATTGAAATAAGACATATGGGTATCAAATGAATGCTGTTTATTATTCGGATTATTTTTAAAATTAATATTTTTCATATGGCAGTTCGAATGATGGTCATTGAAATAAAAAAAAATGTATAAAAGGATATTTGGGATTAAAAACCAATTTTTGACACACATGCATTTGTAGTGACTTGTTGATTGTTTGGAAATTTATTTAGGGGAATATTTAAAGTTAAGGCCAAGGTGTATTTAATAAGGTGTATGCATCAGCTACAACTAAAATTTTAAAAATGTTATAGAGAAATAAAGATGTTGACAATTAGCTAAAAGGAAGAACAAAAATAAATTAATAATAACGCACCATATTGAAGAATTAAATGAAAATAATTTTTCAGAAGTCATAACGAGAATAAATTTTGCTGTTCCGAAGGACTTGGGTGCAGACATATTTATAGAGATTAAAAAATAACTTTACAAAATGTTAAGGGCTATGAAGGAGTATTTTGCAAAGCTTCTGGATCAAATAGTGGCCGTGAAGAAGATATCCGTGAACCAATAGCAAATGACGGTATAGAGTGTATACCCCCTAGCCAAGATGAGGTCAGAATAGCAATAAATAGGCTAAAGAGCATTAAAGCAGTAGGTGCCGATGGGTTACCAACCGAACTATTCAAGGCTGGTGGTCAATGCTGTCAATTTACAAAGGAATATGCATGTCAAATTTTAACTTCATTATTTTGCAATGCACAAAGGAGACAAGATGGTATGTGCCAACTATAGAGGACTTAAGAGAGAAACACATACGAGGATTCAGGCCTACCCTGTTAAGTTGGCTTCGTATGAATTGTGAATTTACATAGGAATAACAGAGTCAAAATTTTATTGATCCAATCCACTGAGAGGTATTTAATGCCATGTCTGCGTTCGGCATTCCTACAAATTTAATAGGCTATGCAGGATATCTTTAAGGTGCACAAGGTTAGCAGTTAAAGTCGGAAAGTACCTATCGGAGCCCTTTAATACCGAACGAGGATTCCGACAAGGTGACAGTTTGTCGTGTGATCTTTTTAACATCCTGCTAAAAAAGGTCATACGAGACGCAAAGATGAACAGAAATGGCACTCTGTACACCAAACAAGACATGTTACTCGCCTATGCCGATGACATCGATATAATGGGTCGAACATTGCGAGCGGTAACATCCACATTTAAACAAATTGAGAAGGGGTCTGATAAAGCTGATGGTATTAATACGCAGGACGTCCATTAGACTCGGACCAACTGTGAAACTTGAGAACTACAGCTTCGAAGTCAAAGATGTTATATACCGCCATAAATAAAACTAATGACATCAGAAGGATAGTGTTGGCCACCGGATGCTACTATGTTCTTAGTAAGCAGTTTAGAAACGAGGCCACCTCCCGTCAGACCAAACTCACACTCTACAAGACGCTGATATTACCCGTACTGTTGTATGGATCTAAAGTATGGGTACATGTGCAAGCAGATGAAGCAGCCCTTGGAATGTTTGAGAGAAAAATTCTCCGAAAGATCTATGAGCCGATCTGCGTTGAAGGTAATTATAGGTATCGAATGAACCATGAGTTGTACCATCTATTCTCGGACATTGGAATTGTCAGAGGTACCGAGCTGCAGCGACTACCTTGGCTAGGTCATGTTGTGAGAATGGATGAGGATCCATGCTTATGGCTCTCTAAATCCCTTTAAAACTCATATGCAAATCGACGAGTATTACCTTAAAAATATTCCTTAAAAATTACCCATAAAACTCTTAAGATTTCTTCAAAAATATATCTGAATAAAATTACGATTGTGCTCTTAAAATTCTTATATAAAAATTTGCTAAATGCTTAATTCTAAAATCCCCTTTCAAATATTCTTTAAAAATCCATGCTTCCGTATACATATAAAAATATGACTTTCAAAATGCATTAGTATTTAAAAATCCACGCTCATTGTTCTACAGTCCCTATACCTCTTAACTCTTCAATTCCTTAAAGATTTTTTTAACAAAAAACTTCACTATTGTTATTCTTTAAATCCCTTTAAAGTAGTCATTAACATGCACTTTAATATAATTTAAAAACTTTTTGAAAACTCCACTATTATGACTCTAACCCTTGAAATCCACGTTATTATAATTTATTTTTGTTTATTTTATTAAATATAGTAGACATTTTTCTGTTATATTTCCCTTCCAATCAGAATTAAGCCACCCACAAAAAACAATATTCCCATCTCTGCCCCACAATGTCATACGTTCAGCGTCAACATTTAACGCCAACCATATGAAGATAACGGCGTCATAAATCAACCATGGCTGAACACCACCGCACGACTTTGTTGTCTCAGCACACGGCCACTGATTTGTTTTTCAATCGCTTATGTATTGTTGTTAAGTGCGGTAGTGTTTTGCTGCTTTGCTCCGTGACGGTTAACTGTTATAATGTTATTTATGAAACTGTTATACTATCGAGTATAAAAAGTCAAAAAAAAGAAGTGAAAAAATACTAGAAAAAAATCCGAGCAAAAATATAAATAATAAAGAAAAATAAAAAAGAGAAAATCTGTGTTAAAGAAATACAATAAATTGAAATTTATTATTACATAGCCAACAAGAAAATTACACAGAGAAAACGGAAAAACGCAATTAAATCAAAAATAATAGTATATGGTCATCGGTGGAGAACGGGTAACAATAACAACACCACAATTCGAAAAGAAATCTTAACAAATAAATTTGTTAAGTGGAATAACAAATCAAAGCAACAATTGTTAATAAAATTGTTATTTGTCTTTCGCTTTGTTAGTTATACCAAAGGAATTTTGTGTGTAAATTTATCTCATTGTGTGAAAATATATTTTGTCAAAAGCCAAAACAACAAAGAAATACAAAATAAAATAATAATAAAAAATCTGCTAAAATCCTAACCATTGCAATTGCGTAAAAATATTTTGGCTGCCTATTTGGCCGTGTGAGTTGTGCAGCAGCAGCAGCGGCAGCAAAACAAGTGTTGTGTGTTGAAACGTCAAATAAGAAGAATTGTTAGTGTGTTCGTCGTCGTCGTGTACGTACGTGTGTGTGTGTCGAGTGTTTTAGAACCGTGAAGGGGTTTGCACAGAAAGAGGAAATCCGAGTTGTGAAGTAGTAGTGAGGTGGCCTTTACCTTATTTTGTTTTTTTCTCTTATTGGACCACTTGCGCTATCTCCTGTTAGAGCAGAATTGTTCCTGGCGCCAAAGAAATAAATAGCAAAAGCAAACAAAGCTACAAGAAAAGTTTTAAATTAAATTAAAAAAAGAATCTCGAAATAAATTTGAAAATTTAAAGGTGTCAAATTAAAAGTAAAGTTTTTGGTTGTTGTTGCGGTGGTTGTGGTTGTGTAAAAGTAGAATCCTTTACGTAAAAAAAGTAACCCGAAACAAAAAACAGCCTAAACATTCAGTTCGTTTTTATATATCCGACCAGTACGAAAATCAACAACACGGATACATATCGAACTGCTCATAAAGATCCCTCACCTCCGCCGGATACGGAATTTTTTGCCGAAGCCAGTTCAACCAGTGACGACGATTTCAATTATATCAGTCAAAACGGCTCCATACCGAATATCAAGCCCCTTAAGACCACCAACAATAAATTATCGACGGCTATTTTAGCAGAATCGGCATCGATAGCGCGTCATCATCGTCATCGTTCCAAGTCACCAATAACACCACCACCAACATTATCCTCCGGATCGACATCATTGACGTGTGCAATATCATCAACAACGCCATCGTCACCAACAACAACAACACCACCAACACAATTGGCAACTGCAGCCTCCATTGAGGATATTATACGTTATCGGCCAGTTGCCCCACCAACAGCCATCGGTGATTTCGCGAAAAACACCACCACCACCACCATTGGCAGCTCCAGCATCAATACCCCTAACGGCCACAACATTATTGCCAAAAACATGGCCATGGTACGCAAAAAACAAGATGACAAATATCTGGAAGCATTGCGTGAATTGATTACCACTGGCGGTGGTAATCGTCAGTGCTTCGATTGTGGACAAAAAGGACCAACATATGTCAATATGACAATTGGATCGTTTGTGTGTACACGCTGCTCGGGAGTACTGTAAGTAGATTTTGTGAAACATTTTAGAGGAAGTTTAGTATTTTTATTATTTTTAATAATTTTTTTTTTTGTTAATTTTAATAAATTTTTGTAGGAAGTATTTTATTTTAGAAGAGAGGAAGGATTTTGAAACAATTTTTTTTATTTAGCTTCAGACCTATTAACCGATTTTATGTGGTAACAAATTTTATAATTATTTAAATAATTAAAATAATTTTTATAATGTTTAATTACAGATTAGCAATAATGTTAGGTCGACTTTGAAAATAATCTATAATATACCCGATATGTAGGGGATATAACCGATCTGAAACTTTTTTTGATGTTAGAACGACAATTGCCATTCAATATCTAAATAACTTGATAAAGTCCATACTCACTTAGCACTAAATCACCTTTCCAAAGCCGAGATAACTTTCATACAGCCTCCATATTATTATCACCTTTCGATATTAAGGCAATCTGACTTTAACTTTTCGAAAGCATATTTTTTAAGTGGCGTATA